ACTGGAATACTTGATTGGTAACGCCATCATATCATATATATGAAATAAATATACTCAATACAATTCTACCTTATGCTCTTCTATTAATTGAGAGTGCTACTAATATATTATAAAAAAGCTTAGTATGATAAGAACAATGATTTGGCTTGATGATTCCTTATTGAGGTACAAACATCTTCTGAGGATGTGATCATTCACATTTCACTGTAACTGATGACTACTCATGTACCGTGAAATAATGGAAACCCAATAAAGTTGAGTATTATGTATCTTTACCAGAGCTAATTTTAAAAATTAATCTCTGTATGGTGTAGCTTATGCGAAGCTAATAGTATCAAAAGAATTTGGTTGAAATGAATATACTTTCTGCCAGCAGTATTTTAGGCGAGATTAGACTTTGTTATCCGTGAATATACTCTCTTCGTCTCCAAAGAATTGACAACTAAAATGTTACATTTTTTTTTCATTTTTTTCCCTTTTTTTTAATTTGGCCGGCAGTTATAGAATACTTTTAGACAAACAAATAAAAAACCAACAAAAAAAAATTCGACAAGCAAAACGTTACTGGCTACCGGTACTATATCATGCATATCAATATATTTATATTTAGTGGCAAATAATTTTGATAATTTGTAATTTTATTATATTGTAATACATGTACTATATTATGATAATTTTATCATTGATAACCTGCTGTCATTTTTTCGACTTAAAATTGAAAAAAGAAAAAGTCCAATAAAAATTTGGTTCATCTTCGTCCATCTAAAAGCGTGATTGATATTAATTCAAACGCATGTCGTTTAGAACATCACTTTCTTTCGCTTTATAGTTTACAAGAGCATCATAGCCATCAAATGGGCCCCGCGCAATGACGCTGTCATGGGCTCACCGTGGCTGACACGTCACCAGACCACGTGCCCCCACACCCTCCCGCGGGCCCTTTCTCTCTCTATCTTTCTCGGTCTTCATGGCACATGACAGGTTCAAGTGTTGAAGATTCTGTCCAGCTAGCTCATCAACTCTCCTAAATTAGCTCAGCCGTTGAACTTTCCCCGGGCCCCGTACAATCTCTTCCCCACCCCCTCTTTTCCTCTGCAATTTCCTTCCAATTTCTCTGACGCTGGATTGGACCCAGCGTCAAGAAATTCCAAGGCCTTCTTTCTCAATCTCCGCCATTTCCTTCGCCTCTTCTTCCCCGGAATATTTACTACCTGCCAATCCACTCCGCTTCATCTTGTTTCCGGCATTTCCTTTTACCCATTTCTCTCTTCCCTTCTCGACAAGGAGGGTCCCGCTTTTGTCTGGGCACCAAGGACACAACCCTTGGCCGAAGATTTCGGATTTGTTCGTCGGTTGCTCAAGACGAAGAAAGCGAAGCTTTGGGGATAATCCCGTACGGTTGGTTTCTCTGCATTGGGTTTCTGGGGACGCAAGGATTTGCATTTACAGCTGAATTGGCCATCAGGGACCCTCAGAGAACAAAATTACATGCCAACGGTGGGTGTAGCCAGATGCGAAAAACCCCCCATTGCCGAATTGTTCTTGAATATCGGAATCCTTTGATCGTTGTTTTATGGATTCAGCATTTTCGTCCTTGAGTTTTCTAATATTTGGCTATATCATTAGCCTTTATGTTTTACTTGTTGATCCCAGATGGTCAGTAGTAATGTAATGTCATCATCTCCTACTCATCCCCCGCCACCGCCTCCCCCTCCCCCTCCCCGGCTCTCTCCCCCTCCACCGCGGCCGCCTACTCCTTCTCCACCACCGCCACCTCCGCCCCCGCCCCCTCCCCCTCCTCCTCCTCTGCCTTCGCCTCCGCCTCCATCATCACCTCCACCGCCCGGAGCTAAGCTGTCACCTCCGCCGCCGCTATCACCATCGGCAGCGACTCCTCCGCCAAATCCTGCTTCCCCGACGAATGAAGTGACGGTGGACAAACCTCCACCGCCTCCTCTTGATGACAACCACCTTAACCAGCTCCGGCAACCGCCGCCCTCGATGAATGCGGGTAAGAAGATTGGGCTATTGTTTTTGGGTATGGCGGCATTAATGCAAGTTGGGGTGATCGGGTTATTAATATATAAGCGAAGGCAACTCTTAAACGACTCATGACAGATATGAAGCTTGTCCTTTGGAAAATTACTTTGCGAGTTCTCTTGTCAATTCTTCGTTATTTGGTAGAGTTGAAATTCTTGACTGAGATTTTGTATATTTTGGCAAGAAAGCAAGGGCCACAAGAATTGACCATCAATTGTGGATTGCTTGAGGCATCGCTGTTCCCGTTTGGGCCTTCAGAGTGTTAATTTAGTTGATGTTGTCTGCTCTTAATGTTAATTTCTATTCGTATCATTCCTTCCCCTGTTAGTTTCTTTACATGGCTTATAATTAACAGAAGCCCTTTATTCTTCTTAAGTTCTTTCTTCTTCTTTTTTCCTGACATTTTCACTGTACAATGATGTTAGAAAGTAATGGAAATTTAACAATGACATTTGTATACTCTTTTCCTTTCGCTATTTGGTGTGGTCGTTACCGTGGAATGTATCTACTCCTAGTTGTCGAGTGTATGTGCTGACCAGAATTTATGTGATTATTCTTAAGGTTGCTCCAAACCAATGCGACTTCTTAGCTAAAGGCCTGTTTGAGATAGCATTCAAAAGTTTATACAAGTAAGTCGAAATAAAACCCCCTTTGCATATTTACCTTATATTCTATAAATTATGATTAAAAAATTATTTATAAATTATTCCAAATAGAGCCAAAACGCTCTCTAGATAAAAGTGTTCTACACAAATAGTAAGTGCTGAGTAATGCACATTTCACCGTACATTACAGAATTTGGTGTCATGACTTTCGGACAAATTTTAATGCTCCCGCCATGGGTTTTGTTTTAAAATACCTGCCACTTTGGAATTTCAATGAAGTTTTTACCCTTAATTAACAAAGAGAGTCATTAAGACGGCAGAAAATGAAACAAAACAAATGCTGTGTAGTCTTCTCCTCTAACATAAATGTCAGAGAGTATGCCTATCTTCTTATGGTTTGCAGAAGTATTCTGTGTCTTTCTAGATCTGTAGTTTCTGCATGCCTGTCTTGCATTGAAAGTTGTCATGTTAATGTGTCGTGCATTTTAAAGTGAGCAAATTTGATGACTATTTACTCTTAGAAGGTATCAGGGTGCCCATTGTTGTGCTTGCAACTTGGTTTATGCTTGCTGTTACTACTTCTGTCGGTAACTGTTTATTAAAGAGACGTTGAACACTGCACAGATTACCTGAAATTCCAGAGGGGGATGTAGTTTAGAATTGAGCATGGATCAGGGTAAAGGTTTGATACCTGCGGGGCTTACATTGATTCGGTTAGCTTAATAATTATGGCCAAGCGTGGTATTTCGTTGAGCCAGTTCATATTATTCAACATGCGACTTGGATAAACATTAGTCCTTATGGACCTTTCTCGTTCAACTATCTTACCATGTTGATGCTGTCCGAGAATCCAGAGAAGCTGAACACTCTGAACAATAGTTGGTTTAAGCATATTATAGCATTAGTCAGGACTCAAAATCCAGACATTGGGTCAAGCAGGTATTCGGATAGTATGTTCTGCTATAGCCTATAAATTTGATTTTAAGCTGGTAAAGCCGGCATAACCATGCACAATGGAATGATAATTCTTTGAAAAACAGGTGAAATAGCGTTATTTTCACGGTTGATAGTTAGCCAAGGAGATTATGTGCGCATGCACACAGGACATGACACACTCGTAGATCCGACCGACCTGACAATACATACGGTTGAAATGTAATTTAGAAATCAGGTATTTGTACGAGTGTCTATCGTAGTTTGGATAGGGTCATGGGGTTCTGCTTGGTCAATTTTGAGGGATGCTGAATCTGAAAATGTTCAAACAGGACCGAGACTATGGTCTTACTTGGTCCAATTTACAGTGTTTCCTTAAATGGTTCTGCCAATACTTTTTCGACAGCAGACAAGGAATTCGTAGAGTATGCGGGCATACGATTTGCTTTCATTATTAACGCTATGAAGTTGATGAACTTGTTTTTTGTCCCCAGTAAATAATTTGACACCAATTTGTCTTGCCTTAGTTGTACTGACTATTTGAAATATTTAAAAAATGATTGATTTAGTCTTACAACTGGTAGCAATTTATGGGGGATTGGTAGGAGAAAATTGCATATGGCTTTACAGAGAACAGTGCAATTGGTGGTGCGTACCCTGACTTTATTGATTATAATTTTACTTGGTACGTCATATTAGGCTTTGGACCCTACTAGAAATTAAATTCTTGTCCCAGACAACTTTATGAGTTTTCTTTTAATCCAATAAAGGAACTCCAATATTTGGTAAGCTTAACGCTTATTGTGATGTTAGATTACTGCGTCCTAAGTCAGTTGGCAAAGGAAGGAACCAAGGGCAAAAACAAAAGCACAAATATGTGAACCACTATTTGATTAAACTTTGAAAATGAAACCCTAGCTGTAAAAATGTTAGCAGCTCAAGCTGTCCATTGGAAGTGCGACAGAGAATTTTGTAGTTTTCTGTTCAGGAGACTTGAGGGAGCTAGTGTATCGCTCACGGTGTTGGTACAAGTTACTGATGATTCATTGCACATGTTCTCTGTTGGTCCAAAGACATATTCAGAAGAAGCAGAAGCTATTATCAAAGTAGAGACCGCGGGGTAACAACACTATGCTTTCCAGTCAAACAACAAACTGTGCAAATCTGAGACAACCTTTTTCCCTTCAAGGAGAAGAAAGAAAGTAACATATAAATATCACGAAAAGTACAGACACAGATGACAGATCCTCTTACTGTGGCCCCCTACTCAACAAAGACCACTCTTTGGCAAAAGAAAGCTACCCCAGCCATAATAAGTTCTTTTATCTGCAGCAATTCTCTAATGAGTCTTATCATTCATCTGTCCAGGAAAGGAGGCTAAATAAATTAAAAGAATTATAAAGATAAGTATAGAAAGGAGTATTAAGACGTCAGATACAACGAAGAGGAAGCTACAGATAATAAAACATTACCAGAGGGGATTCTGGAATTTGAAGCGAGATCAAGCCAGGAATCTGTGTTCTTTGGAGGCCATTCACCAAAGAAATGATGAAGGGATCTCTGGGTCATCTCGGTTTCATTCTCTTGTTTTATTTGCCCCGGTGAGTTGAAGTCTCTTTCCATGACAAAGCAATGTTGCTCTTCTTGCTGTCTTGGAGTTGGATTATCATTCATGTTATGGAACTGGGAGTTTGAATAAGACTTACAGGAGCTCAATGGTAATTGTTGATATGAATCAGGAAAGCTCCTAACACTCCCCGAGGCTTCTGGAAAGAAAGCTCTCTCATCCACACCTTCCCTCATTCCATGAGTATGCCTGCTGGAAATAATAAACTCAAACTTACTAATTAACCAATAGAAAGAACATGTATAACAAGAAGCTAGCCCTTGGTTTCAGACCAACCTATAGTCCTCATCCCTAGAATAAGGTCCAGAGTCCAAAAATAGCTGGTGGGCATTGCTTTTTGGAGAAGGAAAATCAGAATCAAGAGGTTTACATGAGGTTGAATGGGTGTAGTACAAGGGATTAAGAGAAGAATTTTGGTAAACATGGGAATAAGGTTGGGTATCGGAGGGCACAGAAGAGGGCAATAGAGAGAAAGGGAAAGAAGTTGTTGACGGTGGATTGGCATTGCTCATGGTAAGGCTTCTGTTGCTATACGGTGAAGAGATTGGCTGTGATGTGTTTGTTGAAATGCCTGTTGTTGCTGTTGAAGAAATTTCCACAGGCTTTCTTGAACGGTTTTTCCCCCTGTGCATGTGCCTCTCACAGTATTTTGAGTCCGGATAGGCTTCTTTTGAGCATCTCCATTTCTTGCCATCTGTTCTTCTGCACCTTCCTGGCTCTGGGTCTACTTTTCTGCCATATCCCATTTCTAGGCATCCCCATCCAACTGCAGCAATATAAATAAATAAATAAAAATAGGAAAAAACTGAACTATAATCTTTAATAACCACAAAATAACAAGCTTATCCTTACTTGGATGGAAGGGGAAGAGCCTTGAAGAAGAAGAAGAAGACATTGAAGAGTCAAGGCTTCTTCTGACAGAGTAAATGAGATCAGGTGGGATGGGGCTCCCTGAGAACAGGTATTTAAAGATAAGAGCTTGATGTTCAAGTTCTTGCCATTGAATTGCTGTGAAAGGAGATCCATTTCTTGCACTTGTTTCGCTTATCATTTTTGACCCTCGAAAAGCTTTAAATGTGCATAAAAATTTAAAACTACGCAGCGATGAAGAAAAGCTCAGAAGGTTTCAAAGATAAAAAGGAAATGGATTCCTTCTTGTTTCTGAAGCGAAGGGCATGTTTAAGGAACTCATTGGCTACGAAGCAAGAATCTTCTTTCTGTGCATGGATAAGAGTTAAGACTAATGGCTCTCTGATGACATGCTCCTGCTGGGGTTTGTGAGAGAGTGGAGTATTGAGAGTGCTCCTGCTCTTGCAAGTTATAATGACTGAACATCTAATGGCTTTTGTCTCTTTGTTCTGCAGCTGCTGCTGTAGTCTCTGACATCGGTGCAAAAATCCATAAACAAATGAACAAAACGTAAGCAAGCAAAATTAAATTCAAATAAAGGAGAACCATGTACCTTTGGGTTTGCTGTCTCTTCACATTACATCCTGGAAAATAGTGTCATCTGGTTATGTTTGAAGTGTAAGCTGCTCAGTCACAGGACACTACAGCAAGGTTTGCCTCTATATGCTAGTAGTATTGTGGATATTTGAAGACATTATATTTTAAGAATATTTGCAGTGTTGATAAATAATATTACATTACTAGGATATTTTTAACAGCTTATTGGTAACTTTACATAAATTAAAATGTTTACTCAAAATTAGTTGATGTTGTTAAAAATTTAAAATTACCCAAAATGAAATTCATTAATTGGAGGAGGCAGTTGAGTTAGTTAAAAATAAAGATGTTTAATGAGCTTAAAGTAGTCCAAGTAAACAATAGTACTTAGGAAATAAATTGATGCCTCCTACAAAAGGCCTTACATTAAGAATCATGGGAAGAGTCTTTATACTAAAATTAAAAAGAAATTACGCGTATACATCACATTTGTCTTTCATACAATCTTCTTCTTATAAATAATTGATTGATGCGTTTCCCTCCTAATTTTTCAGCAGTGTTGTTCATTAATTTATTATAAAGTAGAAATGTGGTTACAAGTTGCTCATCATAACCTCTTGCTAGCTAGTTTGCACATTCAACAAGATCCCTTTTAGCTAGTCACATAAACATTTTTGTGATTAGGCCATAAGCAAATTATTAGTATAAGTTTAGGTGGTTTAATGAGGGAAACGAGTACCTCAATCAGATCAGGAAAGTATTAAAAGTGTTGATTGCTGAGTTTTGAGTTTAATTAGTAAGCTAAGCATAATTGCTGAAAGAGAGGAAGGAAGGGAGGTAGAAACTGATGGTTAAAGAAGGAAGATATGAAGTGGAATTTGTTTTTTTGGTATGCTGGGAAATGGGAAATGAGAAATGAGAAATGAGAAATGAGAGGAGAAGGCATCAGGACAGGAGGTGTCAGGCAAGGTAAGGTATTAAAACTCTGTTGCTCTCTGCCTCTCTACACATGTCCCTCCCCCCTCCTTTATTCATTTCCCAATACCTAACTCAATTCTCTTCCCCTCCCTCCCTCCCTCACACACACACACACACACACATTTTGGTTAACAAAACTTGGGTATCCATGATACCAACAAAACCGAATTTTATTCTCTTTAATGGTTACTTGACATGATTTGATTTGAGATTTGAGATTTGCTGGACTCAATTTAAAATGGCTTTCTTAAATGTATTTTCTGCACTTATACGAGTTTAAATTTGAGACTTCATAATTAAACGGTCATAACTCATCAACTAGGACTGACTTCCATTAATGAAAAAAAGCAAATTCTAAATTATAGTTAAGTCATGCAAACTCTTGTTAACATCATTTGTTCTATTTGCCAAATTGGAATTCAAAAGTTATTGTATGTAAAGAGTATTAAACCTTTTACGTCTCAACACAAGTGCCATTATCTCTTTGCTCTATTTTTTGGCTTTCACTTTTAAAATTTCCATGCAAGCTGTGCATATATGATCAAGTATCAATATATAAAGGATAAAGCTTATTTGTAGTCCATGCATAACTGCCAAAGAAAAGCAGGGAGATGTGTTATATAAAAATTAAATGTTCTGATTCACCGATCACTTTCTCTGTGGAGTAGATGAGACATGTATAACAGTGGATGTTACAAGAAACTCTTCTCATACAATGTCATTATATTTAATCATCATCATTTTTAGTTTTCATTAGTCATTGATGTTGCTTACTCTTTTTAAGGGAGCTTTCCATCATAGCACCAATAGTGGACGAGTCAAAAATGAAAGGACTTCAGAACTCTTTGAACAAATTTTCTGGTATGAGCTATTGATAATATTTGAATTTAAATCACAATATGGAATACAAGATGCTAGAGAATAGCCATAAAAAATAGTACTACCTTTGATGCTTATAATAAGAAGTGGTTTGACTTTCAATTTGATACTAAATATAAAATTTCAGTCCATTTTATTTCTTATATTTAATTATTTTTTTAAAATAGTTTTTGTAATGGTTGAAACGTTAAAGTTTTTATTAAATAGTAATTCTAACTAATAGATATAATTAGTAAGAATATTTTTTAAAAAAATATATATTTATTATAAATAACTAAACAAATTTTTTAATTTATTTAAATTAGTTAACCATTTTTTATATCAAATCATATTATATTGACGAGTCATCTTGACCAGGGTTGGTCTTGCTGTAAAGAAGGGCTTTTCCTGTATACCCACCATCTGCATATATAAAACTCAAATGGTGCTGTTTATGGAATGAGTAAAGTTTGCTTTTTAGGACACTGTGAAGGGTTGGTCCTAGGGTTTTTAATGTGGCTACTGTTTGCTAGCCAGCTAGGCCGCCCAAAAACACTTTAACCGCATGTGCTCATCACTTATAGATGCTGTGAATTTTTGTCTCTAGGTTCACTTGGTTTCCATCAGAAGTCAACTTTTTACTTCATAAAGTATATAAGCACAACATGTACGACATTTATTGTCTTTGAAATTCATTTGCAGCTTTAGAGCTATTTTCCCTTCTTTTTGAGTAATTAAACGAGTTCAAAATAAACATCCAAAAAACGTTCACTGCTCGTCAAAGCATTTAAACTCTGTTGTCTGTATTAGGGATGCTGTGACCGGGAGGTGCCAAGCAGTAGTGGCTCCCCTTTTCTCTTTTGAAAAGAATCTCAAAAGACAGAACGGCGATACAATGAACAAATGTTCAAACTGTTAAACAGTAAGTATTTAACTGCAGAAGCTATAGAGGAAGCCTGCTGACATGGTGGGTTACTTCATGAACATTCATTTTGCATCAAATATATACACTTTTGACTCAGTGAATGAATGTCCAATATTAAAATCTAAAGTAAAAAAGGCACAAAAGGATTCCAGTGTAAAAAGCTTGCTCTTGTATGGCGTAAATTTCTCAAAACTAAAAACCTGCTTCGTCCAGATTAAAGGTCGAGGCTGTGCAATGGATATATCTTAGCACTTAAGCAAAGAAGACTTTCCTATTATTCACACACTTCGCTGCTTCCTTTTGAAAAGCACAGCGATGTGTTTCTCTGTCAAAATGGTCTATTTTTAACCCCTCCCACGTGCCGTTGAACAGATATAATGATATATCCCAACTTCATTGTTAGTTACCAGTCATTTCAAAATTGGCTTGTGTATGTCAGTGTGTGCGTCCTTTTTTCCCCCCTTTAAGTTCTATTCATCCACATAGATGTACATAATTGCTGATCAAAACACCTTTTTCGTGGACTCTGCAAGAGAACTTAATGCGACCAACGTCTTATCTGAGAAAATTTATGCATGTATGCTTCTGCAAGAGGTTGAGTAGGTTTTACTGGGGGATTGTAAACGACTTGACCAAGGTGTTTGATAAGAAAATAAAGCTGTGAATATTGGCCTGTGTGAATGGTTCTGAATCTTCATCAGCATCAGCCATATATGGCATCAGCATCATAGGCATCATCGTACCTTAGCTTTCTGCTTTCTCTCGAGCAACGGACCTTTATGCTGGATTCTTCAAGTTACGTTATTAATGCAAATGTGATTCATACATCACAATAACAAGTACATGAACCGTAAATGTAAGAAATCATGTTAAAAGATACGAAATGACTATATTTAAAAAAAAAAAAAAGGTACTCAGGGAAAAAAAGTTACAAATTACATACTAATCAGATATTAATATCAGTAATAGAATTCAAACCAAAGACACTTGTGGGGTGTGGGGTATAATTCACATCTTTTGCACGCGTATTAATCTTCCCTGACCTGTGCATTATACTAATTCTGGTCTTAATTATAAAACTTCATCTGTAAACTATAAACAAGATGTTATACTCCTCCAATACTAAATATAAGACTCTTATATTAATTTGTTAGTGGAAGAAAGAGGGTCCCATTTGTGAAATACGTAATAATGGCGGGTAGTCAAAATCCAGGTTGACAACCTGACATAGACTAGGCATTGCTTCTTCAATGCACAAATAGGAGAAGCACACAAGTAACATGCCTATTTAATGTACTGTCTGACTGCTGAGATAGCTCACTCATTTACGCAACGAGCGCCCACAATTCTTACAGTGAAACTTTTACATTTTTAGTACACTGTGTAGAAAAAATAACACACATGATAAAATCTGATGGGAATAATGGATAAAATGGTTTTAAGAAGCCTGAACGCAATAACAAGTTTCGCAAGCCAAGTCGTTTTCCACTTAATTAAGGCGGTCCATTACAGTCGAAGATAAAGGCCCAATCATCTCGGAAATGGTTAGTACATGTGCATCACCTTTTCAGGTTCACTTCTTTTAATCCATTCCATTAGACCCAATTTCCATCGTTAGCTCACTTCCTTTATTAACTAGGCTTTCCTTGTGAAATTTCCAAATTCACTTGTAAACAGAACAGAATGGACTCTCTTTTATTGGGCTCTATATGCAACTCCTCTACACCATTTGTTGGAGACACACGATCACGCAAACAAGGCGTTTTTGGCGTTGGGCAAACGGCACAACAGTTTAATTCCGCGAGTAGTAACATCGTCGCTTTGTTATTATCCCAAAAGAAGAA